GTGACAGACACAGTGATGAATATGTGTTTGCAGTACACAAGCCACGGTTAAGACAGCTGACTCCACTGTGATGTCTCTCTCTCTCTCTCTCTCGCTCGCTCACACACACACACACACGATGCGCAAAACTCCGCATTTGAACAGTCAATAGCAAATACTTAAACTAATAACAAAACAGTAGCTGATTCAGAAGCGCCAGATTGTCATAGCAAAGTCAGAATTACCTCCTCTCCTAGGTTCACGAAACGGTCGTCCATAAAATGCATTGCTGTTTTGTTGTAAGTAATCTTAAAAATTCCAAATAAGGTGCTTTTGCCTTGAAACACACAGCGTCTCCCTGACATGCTGCTTCAACACTAACTGCGGTTACTGAAACCATGCCTTCTTTCTTTGCGTGCACATTTGGACGGCATTATGCTAATATTTCCACATAGTGAGGTAGATATGTGGGGGCGTGTTAGAACTAGCCGTTTTAGGGGGGCGTGGCAGAGTCTTAACTTTGATAATGAATATCTCTTTGGTTTTGAGACTTTAGTCTTTGCAACTTCAGGGATCTTATCTATGCACAATCAGCTTGTAACACTCCAAAGAGAAAGGAAAACTTGAAATCGCATCATATGACCCCTTTAAAAGTCTTAAGTTGCCCTTTTTATTTGAATAAATATCATTAGTAGGGATGTAACGATTAACCGCGAGCCGGTTGAAAAGCGATTCAAATATGTGACGATTCAAATCAGTTAATTAAAAAAAAAAATTGTGAATCGAATCGTGAAATCAAAATCTTGAATCGAATCGAATCGTGAGTTGAGTGAATCATTACATCCCTAATCATTAGTATGTATATCATTAGTTCATTAGTATTTTTGTCTCATTTTTGCAATTCAAATATCTAAACATCCTTAAATCAATATACATTTACTTGAGATTCAAAATGAAAACAGTTTAATAAGTTTTGTTTTCTGAAGAATTTAACAAAATTAAGTGAGTTTGTGCTTAAAACGAGAACAAATACCTTTCGATGTGGTATGAAAATGTGTTTTTCGTTTGGATTACATTGATTCTTCTGACCCTGTCAACAGATTTATTTTTGCTTTAATCATAAACTCACTTCATTTTGATCAGTTTCACAGAAAATAGGACTTTTTATATAATTTTGCTTCTCAATGTATCTTGATGTAAGAATCTTTAGACATTTGCACTGGAAAACAAGACAAAATACTAAGAAAGAACATCATGTTTTTACAGTGTGATCTGAAGGTACAGTAATAGTTTTTTTTACAGTTGAGCTATTTTTTAAAAAGCAAAGGAGATCTGTTGGAAGTTGTATAACTGTTGCTTTTACTCATTGTCTGCTGCCCTAGACATTTACACTTAGAGAATATATTGACGTATTGCGTTCCCTTTAATGTATTCACTTACATTTTCTTTAATTTATCTCAAAATGCTCTTAAAAAGTCTTACATTTAGCTTCATAATACCTGCAGAATCCTTTGGAAAAGGTCTGTGTTGTGGAGCATTAAATGCTGAAAGAGCTGCAACTTTCAATAGAGTGTGTGACATTACATACTCGGCTTGACTATCTTTGGAAATGTTGAAGCAGCCACATCTATCTGCTGTTCCCCTTTGAGAGACTGACAGGAAGTGGGCTGACAGAGCTACAGGAGTGATGTGACAGCAGAGACCCTCCATTAGATGCTCTGGGTTTGTAGTCCCATTTAGGGCATTCAAATATGCCGTAGTTATGCTAATGGACGTCAGTTCCCTCACTGAAACCTCACCTTAATAACACACGCACACGTTAGTCTGGAACATCCTCCTCCCTCCCATGAACAAATGATCCGAACAAAGCAGACCTGGATATGGTGTTATAAGTGTCAAAAATGTGACTCCCATATTTTATTTTATTATTATAAAACATGAAAAGTATACAGACAGTGATTTGACTACACTTCTATGATGGACTTTTTAAAAAATATATATTTCTGAATTAAAATGCATTAATAAAATACTGGAAAAAAGCACACTGCTTTTCAAAAGTTTGGGGTTGGTAAGCTTTTTTTAATGCTTTTGAAAATAGTATTTAAAGCTGCATTTATTTGATTAAAAATATAGTAAAAAAATATATTATTGTGAAATATTATTACAATTTAAAATTAACTTTTTTTTTTTTTTTTAGGAATTTAAAAGTTTTTATATTTTGAAAATCAGTCATTGACCTTGATAGATAGTTCTTTTGTTTTTTTTGCTTTTATTTGCGTATTGTGATTTGGCCCTTTTTTTGCATCTGTTCATCATTGATAACCACATTTGTACTGTAAAGACAAGCAAAGTTGATTCTCAAGCAAAGCAGCTCTGACACAGCATTATGCAGAGCCAAAGCATAAAACCCAAACTTGCCCGAAACCTAAAGTTAATAACACTATGTTTGGGGAAAAATTAGGAGGCTGTTTGACATGTAAATCTTGGTTTAACTTATTGATCCTCTTTCCAGTACATTTGTGAGCAGTGACCACATTTAAAACATGTGTGTTTTAAACTCAATGTGAGAAGATTTAGCAAAAATGTATATTCTGAAGTTCATTTGTCATTGTCCCATAAACAATAGGATATTTTGTGCATTGGTTAATAAGAACCCTGTAAGGGAAACAGGTCAATTTAGCTCAAAGGGAATCATTTAAGATTTTAAAGGGAACTCCACCATTAATATGTAAGGGAATTAGGACAGAATCACTGTTTTATGGCTGATCATTGAGACGGCCAGTGAGTCATTGAACGAGCCATATAACATCAATTCTGCAATGGATATTTATATCCAAAATATAGTGAAAACACTATTAATTAGCATATGTAACAAGATCGGCAGTTTAAGACATTAACTTGTGAGCACAAAACACAAGATACTTCTCTTTTCAATATAAATAAGGCTTTATTGGATAAATCTAAGACATATAAACTAATCTAACACACGCATTCACACACAAGTTGCAGAAAGAGAGAAAGTGAGGAAATAATTAGTTTAAGAGAATGAAAATGTGAAATCCCAAGTTTACAGCAATATGTGCAATTGCATAGATCTGAACAACCATCAATCACTTAATTAACCCTCGCACTGAGTTCCTCAATGAGGTTAAAATTGAGATTAAATGCACCAGTTCAGCTCTCTGGAGGTACTTGCGTTTCTGTGTCGGGGGTTCCCTTCCTTGTCTGCTGAAAGGAGTTTCCCGAGGTTGCTGATTGGCTGGAGGTTCAGTCTTGGGAAGCCAGTGATTGGGCGTTCGCTGGCGACGCGGAGCTGTGGTCTGCAGTTGAAGTTTAGACAGCACTCTTT